CATTTTATTATTGACTTTAGTATCATATCTACAAAATGAGTTGACATTCTTAGTTGAAACAGGCTATAACTAAACTTCAAAGGATTTCCTATATAAACACCTTCCTTTGAATTTTCCAGAGTTGGTTTTCGGGGAATTTACACAAAACTTATTTCCCTTCCCCATAGGATGCTACTGTACAAATTTTGTCAAAATAGCTTCATCCTAACGGAAGAAAAAAGGATATTAAAGCTATTCCTCTATATCCCTTATTTGGCTTCATACCTAATTTGGACAAAATTTTGAAGAATTTGCTATGTTTCCCCTATTGGGCCCCACCCTCTGCCCCCAGGGGGACCACACCAAGACCAAGATGCAAGGATGCTCCAGACTAATAGAGGATAACATATTTTAATCTCTATGGTAGAAGAAGGATTTTAAAGGTTTTACCTCTATTTCCCCTATTCAGCCCGCCCCTCTGCCCCCAAGGGGGCCACACCCACCGTTTATACAAAATTGAGTCCCCTTGGCCCAAGTATGCTCCAGACTAAATAAGGATAAAATCCTTTAATCGTCACAGTAGAAGAAGGATTTTAAAGGTTTTACCTCTGTTTCCATTATTTGGCCCCACCCCTCTGCCACCAAGGGGGCCGCACCCACTTTTTATACAAAATTGAGTCCCTTTGGCCCAAGGATGCTCCAGACTAAATAAGTATAAAATCCCCTAATCCCTACGATAGAAGAAGGATTTTAAAGGTTTACCTCTATTTCCCCTATTTTGCCCCGCCCCTCTGCCCCCAGGGGGGCCACACCCACTACTTATACAAAATTGAGTCCCCTTGGCTGAAGGATGCTCCAGACTAAATTTGAATGAAATATCTTAATCCCTACGGTAGAAGAAGGATTTTAAAGGTTTTAGTTCTATTTCCATTGTTTGGCCCAACCCCTCTGCCTCCAGGGGGGCCACACCCACCGTTTACACAAAATTTGTTTCCCCTTGGCCCAAGGATGATCCAGACTAAGTTAGAATAAAACCCCTTAATCCCTATGGTAAAAGAAGGATTCTAAAGGTTTTACCTCTATTTCTATTGTTTGGCACCGCCCTTCTGACTAGTAGCGCTTTAAAGGAATAGTTGACGGACAGACAACGGACGCTGCGGTATGCCATAAGCTCACCATGGTCCTTTCGGACCAGGTGAGCTAAAAAGCAACATGTTTATATCACATTTATCCGATTAAAATATCCTCTGTTCCAATTTTTCAAACTGTGGGTTTATGACTGTACAAAGGAAGTAAAATCTTGTCCTGTGCCAGTCTCACTTACCTGATCCACAAGTATGAGTACAGGCAGTGAAGCCCGCTATACTCCAGGAGTACACACTCTGTAAGACAAGTGATCTGTCCGCGTTAGTCGGGATCTGTAGCGCATGACTGGAACCTCCATCACCACCAGTCAGCGCTTCCCTGTTCCCCGTATACTGCGGGACCCGACCGTACCTCACACTTTGACCCGCTGATCGTAGTGCCTGGTAACCCGAGTCTGTTTCCACCGGAGACACATACTGTGGAGGTGGGTGGTGGCGAATATTTCCAGGTTGTTGTGGTTCTACCCTGACCTTTGACTCCGAATATGTAGATGGCAACACAGCTGTTTGTTGAGAAAAACTGGGGTCCGTCCTTTCACTAGTGTGTTCTCCATAGTTATTCGGATTCACCAAGGTGCTTGAAAGGTTTTGTGAGTTTGAAGATGAGTGGTGCCTCCGGCGATTGTGATGGTGGCGCCACCTATGAGCCTTTTGCCCTTCGGGGACCAGATTTGTGGGGGATGTATACTCTACACCAGGAGGCAGGGTGAACTCGTATACGATGCCTTCATTGGTCCATGCGTACAAAAGCTATGAGACAATAAAAAAGAATTTCTATTTGTTAAACATTTACAAGAAAGTCTTCTTACATCCTTTATGATCAGTACTGAACAGTTGATTTTACGAACACTTGCACTATTGATTAGATAACACAAAAAAAATATATATGAAAAAAAATAGAACAAAAAAACACTCAAAGACACAGAGGCGGTTTGTTTCCTGGTATTGCATTTAAGGCCAACAATAACTTTAATTGTATTTGCCGGTGTCTATATGTCTAGTGCTACCCAGTGACCTCCCACGGTAATGACATTGTTTTTAACTTTTTGTGAATATTTCGGAAACTTGACAATTTTAATTCCAAATGTTGTTGTTTTAAAACTTGTTATTCATTCTCAAATCATTGACTACATTAAAAAAGAGGGAACATGTTTTGAATTAATTCAGAATTCGCATTTATGTTAATGATAATTTTCAAGCAAAAACTGTGATTTATTGTTTATTGTACATGTGAAATCCTTTATTTCATGTTATTGCAAATACTGATTTTTTCTGATGTTGATTCTCAAGAAAATTTTAGTTTTGTTAATAAAGTGTCCCAACTGTTGAACATTTGTTGTCTAATAATATTTAGAATATTGTAAGGGAGTGTTTGTATCGGTATAATAAAACAGTTGAAGTATGGGTATTTCGGGATATAGCCTCGGGGGATCATAAATTAAACTTGCTATATATATATATCCCTCATACCCATACTTCAATTGTTAACAATTAGCAAAAGTTTTACTTAATAAACTTTGTTGAGCAATTTTATTATGAAATCTAATTACTCACAAAGGTATAGCTTAAACTAGAGAAAGAGTGACCTACCTGTACAGTGACCTTGTGTGTGAGAGGTCCCTGTCCCCAAATACACTCGTTAGGACACCTGGAGCTGTCTCGGTCGTACCTGAACTGTGTTCCTGACCCACGATACAATCCAGGTTTGTCCTTCACCCAGCCGCCATTCAATATCCAGTGACCTGTGCTTGCTTTTAAAGCTGTATAAATGGAAACATATAAACAATAAATAGTATATATTTTTAGATATAGAGTTTGTGTGAAAATCTTACATAATACATGTATATGGAAAGGTAATTCATATATAAAGTAGCATATACCCTTAAGGTCACTATACAGACGTCCTCTATAATGGCCCATTGTGTCATTTTTAAAAGTTAGATCTATCAGACTCAAATTTAGCATAGAGCAAGTAGTTTATAAATGATTTTTTATAAAGCAAAAGTTTTAACAGAATTTAGACTTAATGCCTAGGTGTGAAACTATTTCAGCCATTTTTGCATATGTATTTTTTTTTAAACCAGTTCCTAAACTTAAGGGTCCTTGCATCATACTGAAAATAATTGCATCTTTTTCACAAAAAAGTTTTGAAGATGCTTTATTAGATGCCTTAAGAAAAATAAGAAGAAAATGATTCAGATTCTAGCACAAATGGATTTCAAAATCAGCACATCAGAACATTACCTATCAAGGGAAGCTCAGAACCTTTCAGCCTCACCCTTTCCTACTTAAGTGCTACGTACCCAGGTAGTTCCTGCTGTTTTTGTGCTCTGTAACGTTGACATTACAAGCCCCCTCTGGTATGTCCACAACGGGATGGTAGCCCTGGCTCAGATACCTCACTGTATATATACCTGAGATCTTCTTACACCTCAGTTCACCGCGGTCACACTGGGAACACGTACTCTCGCTCTTCACCAGGAAACACGTCACCTAGATACACAAAGTAAAGAAATAGTAAGTTTGGTATAGTACACACAGAGAGTAATCAATCACTTCTGCCAAAGGAAATGGTTAGGGAAGATTTACTGAGAAAAATATGGTTTATAGTACAAGTATTTTCATATTACAGTGGGTACAAACTACAGGTATCTCTGGGGGACTCTTAATTATTAGAGTATAACTAAGTTATTGGTCGGATTGGTCGAGTGGTTAACACTCTGGCCTTCCAAGCAGGCGGCCAGGGTTCGATCCCCGAAGTCGTCGCATGCATGGAATATTCAGAGAAAGTGTTTTTCTCCTGCCCACACAACCCCAACACACCAGGTGGAGTATAAAATGGTCTGGGGTAGATGTTGCGGTATCTGTGCTGTGGCATTCAAGTGAGGTGGCACGATAAATGATGCCATTGGAAGTACGGTCCCACTACAAACAGAACACAATACAACTCCAGCACACACGCAGGCTTTCACACATAGGGAGATATTAGCCAGGTGGTATAGGACTAGTAGTTATAGCGACTGATAAGGCAGCTCCTGGTAATCCCACAAAACTGTATTGATTAATGTATATGCTAATTGTATTCATTGTATTAAATTGTATATCTATGTACTGTAAAGCGCTTTAGAGTGGCTTATGTTAGCTAGATAGGGCGCTATATCAAATGTTGTGTATTGATTATTTTATTTATTGTCTATTAAGACAGGCTGTAATACATAAATGCTGGTCTTTTGAGACAGTTTTTATCACATAACTGTCAGTCTCTCTAAACATGTTTTGTCACATTAATGGTAGTCTCTCAAGACAGGTTATGTCACATTAATTGTGGTCTCTCAAGACAGGATGTGGTGTCACATTAATTGTGGGTGGTCTCTCCAGACAGGTTGTGTTACATTAATGATGGCTTCTCAAATCAAGTTTTGTCATATATATCATACAAATGTTGGTCTCAACAGACAGGCAGTGTCACATGACTGGCAGCTTTTCAAGACAGGACCATTGTCTGTCAAGACAGGTGATCTCTCCAACACAGGTTTTAATTATCACAGTTTGTCTTGTCTTGTTGATGGTTTCTCAAGCCCAAGACTTTAGAGACAAAAGACCAGGTCTCTCATTACAGATGCAGGTAGTCTCAAGACTGAGGTTAACATTGTGGGTCAAGTTTTAGAGTCAACTAATTACATGTAACAAATACAAACTGTTGCATCTATCTGAATGGAAACTACTGTGAAAACGTCCTGGGATAATGATATGATTTATATTGATTAAGGCAAAGGGTTACTTCCACTGCATCAGCTAAAAATGTGAAAAAGAGCTCTTCTCAGATTTTGTACTTGGAGTAACCTCCCTTATACATGTATACAGAAGGTGAAGCAACTAAAAGGATTTTTTCTGGCTTAGAGCAACTTCACCTGTCAAATTATACATATTACAATGTTCAATTTTATCTTCATAAACTTTAATTGCGCCCCGTAAATTAGACAACCATTTTGATGCTGTGCATTTATAATTCCCAGATAGCAGTTGATAGCAGTAAAGTGAAAGACTTGTAATTATAAGGTCCTTTGATCCCTGCAGTTTTCCTGTTTTCTTATTTTTTATTTTTGTTTTCAAATAATTACTTATTACAAACAACTATAATTCTGTAAATGAATATAAATATGTGCTTTTTACAAAATATCTTTTTTAAAACAGACTTTAAATATTTTACAAGTGACAGTGGTTAAACAACATAGTTCAACTTGTTAGTAGCCTTAACTCTAACCTAAGTTCAAACATACAGCTACTTGTGATGGTCTCTTTCTGTGTCTTTGTCTGTTAAAGATAGGTTACAATGTCTTTAGGTACACACTAGGTGCAGGTTCACAGTGAGGGTTATCTTTCTTAGTTTACATTATGTTTATACGCAACACAAAAAAAACTTAAATTCACGATGACATGAAATATCTGATAAATTACACATACAAATGCTAAATCCCAAATATGTAAAGGTAGTCCCCAGCCATTATCACCTAGGAACATGATACCAGAATTCGTGATAAACTTGTTTTAAATTCTTTTATCATCTGTATGTTAAAATCTGCACATCTTTTAAACCCTATGTCCTTCCCCCTTCACTCTCACTTACAATACATGTCCTCTCAGTATGCATTACCTTCAAGTTTCAAACTTTTTTAAAGAAAGTTCATGAATTATGATAGCTTACGAAATTTCAAGCCTAGCTGTTGAATGGAGAAAGCTGTTGGTTAGACAATAGGTCGGACGTATAGGAATGTAGGATTTTACGCTTTATTACATAACTTATCAGACGGGTCAGTCAGTCTGGTGCCTTAGCCCTGTGGTTTACCGACTTTAACAACATACCGTAAATATGTCCTTCTTTATACCTATCTTATACAGGTATGTACAATGTACATAAAAATCTCACAAGGTAGGTATCACAGGTCTCCTACTGGTATATATAGATGTATGTACATCTTAAAGACTAAAATGTATTTCTTTTAATCTTTTATCTTTAGTTTTAATGAAAGTTTTTTTTATATTGTTGGACCTCACCCTGTGTCCTGGACTCAATCTTTTTACCGGTAGTTACAGAAGTCGGTAGTTACAGAAGTAAAGAGTCCAAAAATAACGACACACTGCCTAAAAACTTACGGATAATAGACATGCATGGTCCTGAAAGGATAGGGAACATGAGCAAACAGATTGTAATGGTATTTTACTACGGCAGTACACCTAAACTATTCATGATGTGTCTTTGATGTGTATATTGTGATACGAATATTCAAGTTATTAACAGGTTAATAACCACTATAAACACACAACAAAATATGTTAAACTACAATGTATGTGACCAGATATTGCACAGGCCATATATCTGGTCATAATCAGATATAAGGTGTTTAACATTGCCCCAAATGACCTTCTCCATTGACCTATATTTAGAGAGTCTTTAAAATATCATAAAAAACATAATTCTCTTGAAATCCTAAATTTTTGAAAATGGCTTAGGAAAATTACATTGGACCTTCAACTTTGACCTTGACCTTAGACAATTATTCCAGAAAATTGTAAGTAAAATACCAGATACTGTACATGCTTTGAACTTTATGCAAGGTTATAGGGCTACCAAAAATTATTTTTAAATAATGACCTTGACCTTTATTTTTCAGCTGTCACAAAGAGAATTACTATGCACACATAAGCTTACTGCTTATTCAAGAACAGTAGTGACTGCATGTACCGGTATGCTAATTTTCAGAGGTCGCCACTCAAGCAGCCTTGTTGGCCTTTAATGCAGATTGCTACCAGCACACCAGTGCTCAAGCTCTCTCAAAACATCCTACATTTCACCAGGACCCATTTCACCAGGGACCCATTTCATCAGGTCACCAGGACCCATTTCACCAGGGACCCATTTCATCAGGACCCATTTCATCAGGACCCATTTCACCAGGGACCCATTTCATAAGGACCCATTTCACCAGGATCCATTTCATCAGGACCCAACCAGGGCCAGTTGTAATGATTTGATAAGATAATAACAATAGTTTGATTTATTATTATGACAGATAAGACTTAACAAAATTTAAGGGTATTTACCGTAGGATTCATTGCAGAAGCATTACATCATTATATTACTGAAATGGGATACATGTGGAACATGTTTTTATCAGGTAGATTTAAAGTTACACTAGGATATTACCCTATTATTGCTGGGTGGATATGTATTAATGTGAAATCATGAATCTGAAACAAATTCAATCAAGAAGCAATAAAGATAAGACTTTTCTGCATACATTAATGTCAATAGTGTTCATAAAAAGTAAAATAGCTATAGATAGTGTATTTTTATACAACTCACCAGGGAGGGGGTTTATAACATCTGGCCACATATTAGGAGCTTGTATGTCACTCTACAATAGAAACTACCCCTTTCACACTGTCTGTGACTGTGTGTGTCGAACTAAAACAAAAGTAGTCTTGAGTGATTATCACAGTAACACTCACTAGGACCTTGTGTGCCTGACTACAACATAACCTGTCCTGACAGATTATCACAGTAACACTCACTAGGACCTTGTGTGTATGACTACAACAGAACCTGTCTCGGGAGATTATTACAGTAGCACTCACTAGGACCTTGTGTGCCTGACTACTCAGAACCTGTCCTGAGAGATTATCAGAGTAACACTCACTAGGACCTTGTGTGTATGACTACAACAGAACCTGTCTCGGTAGATTATTACAGTAGCACTCACTAGGACCTTGTGTGCCTGACTACAACATAACCTGTCCTGACAGATTATCACAGTAACACTCACTAGGACCTTGTGTGCCTGACTACAACAGAACCTGTCGTGAGAGATTATCACTGTTACACTCCCTAGGACCTTGTGTGTCAGGCTACAACAGAACCTGTCTTGATAGATTATCACAGTACCACTCACTAGGACCTTGTGTGTCTGACTTCAACAGACCCTGCCGTGAGAGATTATCACTGTTACACTCACTAGGACCTTATGTGTCTGACTACAACAGAACCTGTCGTGAGAGATTATCACTGTTACACTCACTAGGACCTTGTGTCTGACTACAACAGAACCTGTCGTCAGAGATTATCACTGTTACACTCACTAGGACCTTGTGTGTCTGACTTCAACAGAACCTGTCTTGATAGACTATGACAGTAACACTCACTAGGACCTTGTGTGCCTGACTACTCAGAACCTGTCCTGAGAGATTATCAGAGTAACACTCACTAGGACCTTGTGTGTCAGGCTACAACAGAACCTGTCGTGAGAGATTATCACTGTTACACTCAGTAGGACCGTGTGTCTGACTACAACAGAACCTGCCGTGAGAGATTATCACAGTAACACTCACTAGGACCTTGTGTGTCAGGCTACAACAGAACCTGTCGTGAGAGATTATCACTGTTACACTCAGTAGGACCGTGTGTCTGACTACAACAGAACCTGCCGTGAGAGATT